ATGCGTGCAACAGCAACGCGAGCCTTATTATAGTAATAATTTTACAATTAATTAGATTTATTGTTAGCATGATTTGTTATTGTTATTTATTATTTTATTTATTATTATTATTTAATTTTATTACTTATTTTAGGAAAAATGCTTACTATTGTCGGTTATTTAATAATTTGCAACCTGTGAGATTGCTTATAATATAATACTTATATTTATTATGGTGTATATTTACTGGCGGTAAGACGCATCACATGGTACGTCGACGGCAGGAGAGCCGGTTGTTGCCAACTTCGGCGGCTAGAATAATGGCGCTTCTGCGCAGGTGGGATGAAAAGAAGAAGGAAAAATTTTATCCGTTGGCTCTCCTGACGTTACACATGTATATATTTGATTATACTTTATAGGAATAAAATGAAAATAGTAATTTACATGCACACAATTTAGCGGATGAAGATAGCAGTAACGACAAAACTACTACATTATTGATATTTAGAAAGTTACAACGACTGTTAAAGATATTTTGACGAAGACAGCACAAGATCGTGCAGTTTTGAAATCATATAAAAAGCAAAAAATATTAAATATTAATGAGATGATTCTCGGTATTAGATACGATGTAGTAAACAGGTAATGAGAATCAGTGCCGTTTACGGTGCGCAATTTATAATACATTCTTTATTACAATTTAAAATACATAACATAAAATGCATAACATACGTATTCTAGTTTGAGTCATCTTCATATCATTCTGTATACAAAAAATAAAGATAGAATACCGAGTTCATCCGACATGCTCACTAACGTTAATCAACTCAAGAACAATTTACTCAAGAACAATTGAGTGATCTAATCAGAGAATTAAGGTTGCCCAAATGTGGAGCCAAATTATTAACATCAAGGTTGAAAGGAAAGAATCTGTTGTCCAAAGGAACGACAGTTTTAATTTATCGGAAGAGAGATGAATCATTCAGAAAATATTTCACTCAAGACGAAGATCTGGTCTATTGTAATGATGTTACAGGACTGATAAATGAATTGAAAAAAATGTATACAAAGCTAAAGAGTAGAGATTGTTTATAGATTCCTCCAAGCGAAGCCTGAAAGCTGTGTTGTTACATAATTTTAATAAATATGCGCCACTACCCATAGCACATTCAGTAACGCTAAAGAAGAATACAAGAATATAGAGATAGAGAGTTTTAAATAAAATAAAATACTCGGATACAACTGGCAATTTTGGGGTGATCTCAAAATTCTTTCTATTTTGGATCAACAGTCAGCTTTCACGAAGTTTCCATGCTTTTTATACTTATGGGATAACAGAGACCGTGAAAATCATTACGTCAAAGTGCATTGGCCTGCGACAAAATCCACGGAACCCGGTTCAAAAAAATATCATCAACAAGCCTTTGGTAGAGCCATCCAAGATTTTTCTTCCTCCTCTCCACATTAAACTTGGTTTGATGAAACAATTTGTCAAAGCACTGAATAAGGATGGTTCATATTATGCATACTTGGCAAAAAAATTTCCAGCAATAACTGATGCGAAATTGAAAGAAGGAATCTTCGATGATGCAATCCGTACAATATTAAGAGATGGAGCATTCATTGTTACAATGAATGTTAAAGAAAAGGCTGCGTGACTTAGTTTTAAGAAGGTGATTGAAAACTTTTTAGGTAATCACAAGGATGAAGTGGATGCATTATAGCGTCGCGTTGAAGTGTGTGAAACAATGATTTCTGACTTCCAGGACAAGATGAAACGCATGATAACTGGAGATGAGACTTGGATCTATGCGTATGACCCGGAAACAACCGACCAATCGAGCGAATATCGTGCAAAAGGTGAGGCAAGATCAAAAAGATCGCGCCAAAGTCGCTCAAAAATCAAGGTTTTGTTAAACAGTTTTCTTCGATTATCGTGGTGTGGTGCATTATGAATTCCTTCCGCCGGG